TTTTTTTTTTTTTTTTTTTTTTTTTTGCTTATCTCAATTTGCACAGTCGAAAGTAAATCCTGAACAGAGCAAGATTTACATATTGCACCCTTACAAGGAATAAACTCAATATGATTACTGCTGACTGTCCAACCCTGCAGTCCGTACTGTTATACGGTCGTAGCTACGCTATTCTTTTTACAAGTGGTTTACAGACTTTCTGACTGTGAAAATATTTCTGGATATTATATTTATATTATGCATCTTCATAATAGCGCGCTATATTGTAGAGGCACACAGAGCTAAAACAATTCCTCCGTGGCACGGGGCGCATCACTGCAGAGCTGAACATAAAGTAATACCACTTTAGAGAGTTATAGTATCGAATTTAATATTCCTTCCTGAATATGTTTTATTTATTGCCGAGTTCAGATCTTGAGTTGAGATTGGAAGAGGTCTTAAAGAAAGATTTTTACAGGTTTTATTATCCTCTCTTCTTCCTTTTCACAATTTTTGGTTTCAATAATGTTTGTTGGCGGACTTTGTGGAGTATAAATACATGAGGAGTATCTGTTTAATTGTTATGGCATGATAACTTTAATCTCCGCTGTATGTTCTCTGCCTCCATTTGCCTCGGAATGAAGGTTTAGCTTGTGTTGTCTCTTAATTGGATTTTCCGTCTTTCTTGCCCGAGTTAAAATGCTTCAGTAAGTGATCTTTTATTCTCCCTTCACACAGGATGATCCCAGCTTTACAGAAGAACTCAAAATCTTTATCCAAAGTGAAGTAATGAGGATTTTTGAAGGTAAAAATAGTCTGACATTTAATTTAGCTGATGTGTTTTGGTTCACTCTAACACCCCCGTCTTTATGTCATTCTCCAAGTTGTTACTCACACAGCCTTTTTTGAAAATATTTTCCTGCCCTGCAGAGAAAGTGTCTGGCGCCGCCACGCAACAGAAGACACCTGCCGGCATCTTAGCTTCACCTTTCCAAGGTCCTCCAGGACCCCCGGGCAAGGATGGGTCCTCAGGTCCACCAGGAGAGCCTGGGCCACCTGGACCTCAAGGTAGTAGCTTAATACTTTGAGCTTAAAGGCCTGACTTAACCACCAAAAAAAAAAAAAAAAAAAAAAAACATAAATGGCTTGAATTATCTGTTGGTGTTTTAATATACTAAAACTGATTCATCAAGTGCCTTGATCTTGTCTTCACAGTTTTCCTATTTCATAACTAACATCCTCCTGTGTTTAACTTAATTTTAATATAAATGCGACGGTTTTGCAAACTCCTAGAGAACAGCGTAATGAAGACTAGGGAGCACACCAGAAAGGTCCAAGAGAACGCTGTGAACAAGTTTAAGATTAGGATTTGAAGCAAAGTCTACCGAGACACGGCCATCCTGTTCAGACCTGGGGAGCGACAGCTTAGATGTGTCTCTGCTCCAGCATGTCTGAATCACTTGGCTGTCTTCCCTCATCAGCATGTTATTCAACTCTGCAGATGCCTGGTGGTGAGACATTCGTTTGATTCAGGTGTGCTGGGGAAGGCAACCATGTAAAAGTTTCAGGATAGTAGCTTCCAAGGACTGGACCTAAACTGACAGGCTTGGAGGAGATCAATAATCGAAGACGCAGCCAAGGGCCCCATTGTAACTCAGAAGGAGCAGCACAGCTCCGCGGCTCAGAGCGAAGAATCTTTTGACAGGAGAGCTATTAGTCATGCACTCCACGAACATGGGCTTTATGAAAGCGTTCCAAGAAGAAAGCCATTGCTCAGAGAAAACTATAAGAAGTCCAGTTTACAGTTTGCCAAAAGTCGTGTAGGGTACATGGCAAAACCGTCAAAGAAAATACTCGAGCCCAAAACGGTTTGCTACGAGGATGTTTCTTGTTCAGCACAGACGGGGAATCTGGTTATAGATGAATGGAAGACGGCTGCAGCGAAATACAAGATAATCCTGGAACAAAAACCTGTTAGAGGTTACAAAAGAAACTTGAGACCAGGGTGAAGGTTTATCTTCCAGCAAGATCAAAGCATATTCAGGTGTTAAAATTTCTTAAAGACCACACCAAAGTCCAGCCAGGGGTCTGTGGAGAGACTTCAAAGTTGTTGTCCACACATCCTCTTCCTCCAGTCTGATTTAATTAATTTGAGCAATTTTGTGAGGAAAAATGAGAAATGATGCCATCTTCTAGTTTTCTATTATGACATGTTTATTGCAAGTGGCAAATAAAAATGCATCCTACATTTTCAAATTTTCATTTCTAAACATTTGGAAAATGTTCTGCATGGTTCATTCCACAACCATGCAGTTACGTTAGTTATCTATCTATACGTATAATCCCAATAAAGTAAACAGAAGTTTGTCTTTGTAGCGTGACAAAATGTGAGAACATTTAGGAAAATTAATACTTTGTATATATCTGCACCAGAGCTTTAAAAAAAAAAGAATGAATAAATAAAATGAAACTTTGAGCAGGCAACTGTACTCTGCACTGTCGCCCAGACTGCGCTTGAAAGACGGAGGAGTTACCGTTGTAAAAACGCTCTGTTTTCCATCTCATGTAGGCTACTCACTTATGCATGTTTTTGTTATGAGAAGAGCTGATCTGAACTGCTGTAGACTGCTTGGAATGGGGTCAGACTGACAGTTCTACTCTGTATGGATTCATGAGTATTTTTCTCTTGCATAGACCCATATATCAATGCAGACTGAGGGGCTGGGAGCAGAGGAAAGGCCAGGAGTGTGGTGCACTGCAGCTCTCTGGGAAATATGAAGACAAACGAAGAATTGGCTGTGAATAAGAGAAAATGTTATCAGTGTGGACAGAAAAGAGCTCCATTACTGATACCTCACTCAAGGAGAGAAAGCTTCTGAAACACAAAAGGAGCGTAGTCGAGTTGGAGGGTGGACATTCATTATAGGACTAATCCTGACTCTCTGACTGCTCACACATCACTAATGGTTTGCTGGTCAGGCTTTGTACCTCCAACATGCTTAGATTTATTTTGTGTCCTCAGCAGAACTTTGGTAAAGCTTTGAAAGAGGAGTGCTTCATGTGTTGGTGCACATCAAAGCACTGCTGCATTGGCCTTTCTCTTTAAACTTTTGTATCTACCTCACATTGTTCAAGACCATATATATATATATATATATATATATATATATATATATATATATATATATATATATATATATATATATTAACTCAAAGCTATAACTTCTAATGCTCGTTTCATTTCATTCATGAATAAAGTTCAGCTGAAACCAGATGTTTACAAACACATAAAAATAGGCAAATCTTTCCCTAAACGATTTTTTTCCCACTTACAGATAGTGAAAACACGAGATTTGAGATTAGAATAAAACATTTTACTTATATAAAAAAAATGCATTTTTAATTCAGAAATGTGGGCTTAGTGAAAAGGGTGTGTAATACTTGTTTAAACGTAGTTTTCAAAGGGCACTTTTAATCTGCAAAAGGACCTTGTAAAACATTGATTGAATATAACTACATTTCTCAAAGCACAACAGTCAGTTCAGAACCATGAGATCAGCACAGCGTAATGCCGTACTAACGTACTTCACAGCTACGATAATTTCCTCAGGCTTGAACCGATGGTCATTACGGTGGAACACTTCAAATTTAATTTTTGTCATGACACACGACAGGCCTTTGCAAAAGAAAGTTTTTCTCCCTGTCTGAATTTGCAAACTGTAGCCTGCATTTTTATGTAGTTTTCAAAAGAATGTCTTTGCTAAATGGCCTTTCAGGCCATGCTGATGCAGGATTTGTTTCTTTGTTGATTATGACATTCTCTTACCTGCTTCAGCTAGCACCTTAACAAGCTCTTTTGCTTTTTGTTGATACGCACGTGTCAATCCAAAACACAGTCACATGTGGGACACAGAACCCATCTCCTTCCTGAACGTTATGGTGGCTTGGAAGTCCCACGGTGTTTTAAACACCGTGGGACTTCCAAGCACACACACACACACACACACACACACACACACACCACGCGCGTGCGTGTGTGTGTGTGTGTGTTTCATAAAGTGCACGTAAATATCTGGTTTCCACTGTAGATAATGTAAGCAACTACTCAACTCTAAATATTTGCCACAGGCATTACACATCTTGGATTTTGTTTGCTTGTTTGTGTCTTTTATGCTTTTAAAGTGTGTTTTATAGGCCATTTAAAGTGCAGCTTTGCAATAAATATTTATTGAAAATAAAGAGAAAAGTTATTTCTCTTAATGCATCGAGAATTCAACAACTTCTTAATTTTTTTTTGTTCTTTGTTGACTTGTGACTCCACTCAGCTGGTGAGGGAGTTTGGGGTAATATTTCCTCATTATTTCTCGTCATCCTCCGCTGGAGACCATGCTCCTCTGGAATATCCAATTTGACTTCTTCCCTATTGTGGCAAAATGAATTGTTTATGGAGAAAAATAACCCTGTTGATATCATTGTCTTTCTTTTATTTTATTTTTTTTCTCGTTTGTGGTTTGATTGCACAGGCGAAGAGGTCTCCAGCTGTTAGAGCATGTGTCCTTGAGGACACATGCTAAAAAGCAGTTATTCTTTTACTGTACTCTTGTTTTTGTAAGATGGTGATTTTCTACAATTTTTTTTTTTTTTTTTTTTTTTTTACTTGTTAGTCCCAAAAGAAAAATCTCTAGTATCACTGTATAATTAATTAACTCTTTATTTAGTGTCTTTTGTTGTTTCTTTTATTTTAATTTTGTAATTTAGTCCTTGTGTGTTTATTTATACCTACTGAAAAAAGGTGTTTTTTGTTTTTTTGTTTATTATTATTATTATTATTATTATTATTATTATTATTATTATTATTATTTGCAGTTTCAGTCAGTGCAGTCTGTTTTGGAGTTGCTCTGATTTTTCATGTGCAGGATGGATGTCTCAGTGAAAATCTGAGTGTTTTTGATAGAGAAACTCCTTATGGATAGGTGTGTGTTATACATTTCTTTTATTTATTTTTTTTTAGCGCATGCTGTTAGCATGAATTCATGGTTGTTGCTGTCAATAATGTTTTTGATTGGGTACATGGAGGTGTACAGCTGCAATCTTATCAATCAACAATGAAACAGTATTATATGACAATATCTCTATTTTTTATTTTTTATTTTTATTTTTTTGTACTTTGTCCATTAGTGGCCCTGGAAACAATTTGTTTTCAACCGAGCCCAGTGTGACATTTTCGATTTCATCAGGGTGTGCCAATCCAACGTGGCACCCAAGCTTATTGCTTTGTGTGCTATTCAGTACATTTTTTTCATTTTGCTTAAGGTACAGTGCACTTTCCTCCATGGAACGTCTCCTCCCTGAATGAATGCCCCCGGCCCTGTGAGTGTTAAAAGAACTCTCATTATTGCAGGGATGTGTGGATAGCCCCACTTTCTTTGAGATTCCGTTTTGGAGCATTCATGAGCCTTTTCTTCTGAGATTTTCTCTGACATGTAAGCGTTGAAGCGTTTCCCCTTTGGGCCAGGCAGCGAGATGCTTGATACTCCTGTCAATGTTTCTGACGCACTCCATGCAACTGCTGGTCGTGAGACTCCATTACTTTAAGTGCCTCATGGGGAAATATTGTTGTGGCCCCTTGCCTTTTTACTTGGTATGCTGCTGTTCTTAGCTGTGAAGACTTAACCACTTTGCATGCAGAGAAAAGCTTTTAAAGGATGATTGTGTTTTTTTTTTTGTGTGTGTTTTTTTCCTATAAACACCAACATTGCCTGGTCTGCCTTTTTAATGTTTTTTTTGGTTTGTTTGTTTTTTTCAGCTTTTTCTTAACACGCTTGTGGAGATGCACTGGTCTTAAATTTGATCAATTTTCAAACCTCATAGTAATCCAATTATTATTTATGTTTAAAAACACTATCTAACAGAGTTCAAAATATTTTTCTCTAGTTTTCCTGGAGTGTATTTTTATGTAAGGTAAGGTAATTTTATTTACATAGCACATTTTCAGCAACAAGGCAATTCAAAGTGCTTTATGTATATTCATAGCATAGACAACATCTGTGTGAGTCAGAAACCAGCTGCTGTAACACATGGTTTTATTGTAAGAGCGCTATGAAAAAAGTATTTTTCCCCTTAGAGTTTTCTTTTAGTTTTTTATTTTGTTTCAGGTAATTGCATGAGATGATCAAACAAATTTTAATACCAGACAAAAACCGCCTGAGTAAATACCAAAAGTAATTTTTCAAAGGATGATTTAATTTATTAAAGGCAGGAAGCTTGTCAAGTCAAGCCTGCCTGCACTATCACTGTCAGCAAGAACTGCCAAAAAGCTTTTTTATTCAAGCTGCTGTAGGTAACTTTTATTAAAAAAAATATATAGTTTTTGCATATTTGTTAAAACAGTCACTATGTCATGACAGCATAATATGAGGCAAATAATCTGTGGGGGGGGGAAATCAAGCTCCACTGTGTTATTCCCTCTGCCATCTGCTTGAGTACACTGCTCCTGGTCACCAACCAATCAGAGCCAGGAGGAGGGTCTTAGCACTGTCTATCAGGCTCATGTATGCACTGCTCACTGTCTCCCCATTGCTCTCTGTATCCTGCCCCACAATCGTTCCTTTTGTAAATTACGCTGGCTAATACGCATGGCTACCAATGACGTTGATAAATTGTTTTCCTGCACTGCTAAGTTGTTTCTAAGTCATTAGCACAGCTGCAGCATATACGCAAACATGACTGACAGCACCAAGACCTTCTTCCTAGTTCTGATGTTTCTGACCCGAGCGGTATATGTATTGCTGCAGATGGCAATTGGAGCACAGGAGGAGTTTTAATAGTGTTTCCCCATATTTTCTGTCTCATGTTATTCTGTCACAACACATTGACAGTTTTAACAAATACGTAAAAAAAAACAGTTTAGCAAAACTTACATACTACATCACTAGTTGTAAAAAGATTGGAGTTTTGAGCCACACATATAACTACCAGGAAAATGACCACAGTCATTGGGCAAAAGATAGATCGAGCTGAAAATCATCTGAATCCAGCCACCATCCAGTTTTTCTGTGTATCTCTACATATTTCGCATGTGTGTGTGAATAATTAATTTCTCTAACAAATAATATTTTTACTGTTCTCTACAGTTGTTATTACTCTTCTTAGAGATGTAAAAGTATCTTTAAAAAGTGGATAGCTACAGGTAGGCTTTCAGTATCATAGTCATCTTTTACTGAAGGAGCATAATCTAATTAGAAAATATTACAGTTTCCTAGTTTTTCCTCCCTCACCATCCTGCTCACTGTACTTGGTGGCAAGATAAACTTGGAGTTCATCATTTTTGTCGTTGCTTTGACTCTGCCCAACTACATTTATTTTATAGAAATTGTTAGGGTTGCCTAAAACTGTCCCAAACCTAAAACAAAGTTGTTGTTTTTTTTTTATCAACATGGAATTTTTTTTGCTTCTGAACAAATTATTGTGTAAATATTGGGTTTTTCTGATGTCTTTAGTGTGAGATTATGCTACTGTATTAAAAGGTGGTGTAATTTGATTGCTTTTTAAACATCTTCACCACCGTTTCCGATAAAAGTGGACAGTTCTGCAGAGTCGTGGGAAAAGAGATAAACACAATTTAGATGAGCAACAGGGATGTTTCTAATCATAGCAGTTTTTGTGTGTGTATTTTTGGTTTGCTTGTTTTTTTTTTTATTCGCCCACCTGTCTCCAAAATCAGAGCACCTGCAGTGATCCACATTTTTGATGGCTGGTTGAAATAATCCTCTTTACTCTCCTCTGAAGTCTTGAAAGACATGTTCTTGTGATCCTGTCATTGTCCGTGACGCTCTTCAAAGAACTAACCTGCAGATGAATTGTTTGAGGATTTCTGTTTTGACAATATGTCAGCACATCTTTTATTGTTTAAATATGTAACACTGAAAAAAGGGGGTTCTGGACTGTCAATATCTCCAGACTAAAGCTGTGTCCCTCAGACAAACACAGGGCTCAACAGATGTCTGACATTTTTGTCCTGCTAGCAGTATTTAAGATGACGCAATGTCTCGGTTCCTTGCCAGATAAAAAGGTTGCACAATGTGTTGACACTTTAACATGCTGTGGCATTTGTTCTAATTTTTGTACTGCATACTCTATATAAATGATAGCTTTTTTAGTATTTATTCGGGTTATTGTATATCTGTGTGTCCTCAGGATACCGGGGTCAGAAAGGAGAACGAGGACAGCTTGGTCTGGGGTTACCAGGAGACCCAGGACCCACTGGGCCACCAGGTGAGAAAGGAACATAGAAGGCCTTTGAATTTGAATGCTGGTTGTGTTGACAATCCTGACCTCTTCCCCTTCCCTTGCCCACCACTAACACCCCACTTATTGCATGAAACTTTCGCAACTGTTGGCAACTCTCAACAATTTTTGTGAAAAACAACTGTAACTGTGATAAATAAGGACAAGGAGCTATTGCAACGTTGCACCCACTCACATTGAGCTGGATGATAAGTATGGCAAAAACACTCCTCGGTTTTTAAGGTATAATGGCCAGTAGGGTCATATATATGAATGATGCTTTGGGCACTGAGGACCTCATTGCAACCTCTCTAAAATACCACTATATTTTAAATAAATATTTCTTGCCATTTGCCAGAAAACTAAAAATGTGTTGTTTCTGAAAATTGTAATGAGCCAAGTTATTTATGGCCACAAAAATAATCAAGGATCCATCTCCCTTAATGAAGTGAAGTGTCACAGAAGAAGATTAAGCATTGTAGTATTGGCAAACAAGCCAATTCAAAGTATTAAGAACAGGGGTGCCAGTAATTGCAGGGGGGAAAAGTAACAGAAATTTGCTGAAATTAAAGGTTTAAACTTTGTGACATTATGGTACTGCAATATTTTTATTTTTTTTTATCTACCTACATGCATATTTACATCTTTCAATAAATTGGCATGCTTACTATATTAAA